GATGATGATGATGATGATGATGATGATGAGGATGAAGAAGAAGATGAGCTGGTGAGGCCCTGCTTGAATTTTTTGTTGGATAGTTATTTGGTTTTTGGCTTAAGAATTTTGCTGATTTTGAAGCTTGTCTTTTTGGTTTCTAATTCGATTCATTTTGCCTATTTAGCTTGGAGATTTAGACATTGGCGATGATGAGGATGAAGAAGACGCAGACAAGTTTGCAAGGTGCTACATTTATGATTTATCCAATAATTTTGTTTTTCTTTTCTTTCTACGTTTATTGTACCACAATTAGTTGATTCTATGAATATGGATCGATCATTGACTGCAAATTCCTGGTTCCTCTGCATTTGTTTCTCTGATATATATCTATTTTATGTAATTCACCAGTGCATATCTGTTGTGGTCATGCATATATATATCCATTTAAATATGCTTCACTGCTGCTTCTCTGCTACAGATATGAAGACTTCTACGGAGGAAAAAAGGAAAAACCTTCTAAACGAAAACCAAAATTGGTTGATGGATCAAAAGATTTGGGCATAAACAATGAGGATGAGGATGAGGATGAGGATGAGGATGAGGATGAGGATGAGGATGAGGATGAGGATGAGGATGAGGATGAGGATGAGGATGAGGATGAGGATGAGGATGAGGATGAGGATGAGGATGAGGATGAGGATGAGGATGAGGATGAGGATGAGGATGAGGATGAGGATGAAGATGAAGATGAAGATGAAGATGATGAAGAAGAAGTTGAAGAAGATGATGATGAAGATGAACAAAAAGATGAGAAGGTACTTGAAAATCAAGTAGTGTAACAAAATTTGTGAGCATGGTCTTGCAGTTCATAGGTTCTCCATATTTTCAAATGAGTTTCATCTCATTTCAATATATATTTTTTAATACAGAAGCAGACAACTCTTTCTACCCATGAAACGAAGCTTCAGAAACTTCGTTCTGAAATAGACCAGATGGAAAAAGCAAATTTGGAGCCAAAAAATTGGACCATGCGAGGAGAGGTAACATTGCTGTTTCTGATTTTCTTCTTTGGGACACTAATAGTCGTATTATGCATGTTGTGATACCCATGTATCTTTTAATGGATTACATATATCAATTATGGCTTTTGACAACAGGTAACTGCAGAGAGAAGGCCAAAGAACAGTGCGCTAGAAGTTGATCTAGATTTTGAACACAATGTTAGACCTCCCCCTGTAATCACAGAGGAGGTTACAGCATCGATTGAGGATATCATCCAGAAAAGAATCGAGCAGGTAATCAACATTTTTAATAGATACGCTCCAGGACTTTATTTTCATGTCATATTTTCTTATCTAAAATGTTAAGTTCAAAGTTCAGCTATTTCTAATGAACCACATTTTCATCAATCAACTCTACTGGAGGTTTTTTGGCACTTTATATTGATCACTATAGATTAGAAAGATTTTTTTTTTTCAATTCTCATTTTTTTCTAAGCTTACTCATTCTGTCATTATTTGATATTGTTGCTTGTTTCTTCTACTCTCTCTCTCGTTGTGTTTGTTTGTGGATTACAACCAGTTCTAAAACTGCAGTTGTGTTTTATAGGGGCGTTTTGATGATGTTCAAAAGGCTCCGACTTTACATTCTAAAGCACCAAGAGAAATTAAAGAGTTGGTAAGCATTACTTTTTGATAGAATTTTGATTTATTGTGTGTAAAATGAAGTAACTTGTTCAATGTGTCTAATCCTTTTGTTTAATATATAGGACGAGAATAAGAGCAAGAAGGGTCTAGCTGAAGTCTATGAGGTATGGTTCTCCTGGTGCAAAATGCAATCACTTGATTTGCTGCCCAACCTTCCAAAGTTCGATCTCCTTAGGCTGGATTTCTGTCTTAGCATCTAAATGTGATACTTAACAAATTATTTTTCAATTTTGAGTAAAATATGCTGAGAAGCTATTTTTATTAATTTCTGCAGGACGAGTACGTTCAAAAGACGAATGCGGCTTCTGGTCCATTGTCATTCACAGACAAACAGAAGGAAGAGGTGCATGTTTTGATTGTTCTTCTATGTTACTAATCAAAATTTAACGTCCTTATCTGTATCTAAAGGTGCTAATTATTATTCTTGTGGTCGTTATCTTTGACCAGGCAAGCAAGCTGTTCAAGAAACTTTGCTTGAAGTTGGATGCTCTTTCTCATTTCCACTTCACTCCAAAACCTGTATGCTTCACAATCATAAAATTTATTTATTTATATGCAGCGTATACGTTTCTAATTTGTGGGCATTCATGTACTTGCTATATGGTATCTGGGATAGGTTATCGAGGATATGACTGTACAAGCTAATATCCCCGCTCTAGCGATGGAAGAGGTAATGTGAACTCTGCATTTCCGTTTTCTTTTTATATTCTTTTCTATCACAAATGTCTTTGGAAAATTGACAATCATAATATCTCTCCTTGGGCAGATTGCACCTGTGGCTGTCTCTGATGCAGCAATGCTAGCGCCTGAGGAAGTGTTTTCAGGCAAAGGTGATATTAAAGAAGAAGCAGAACTTACACAGGCAGAGAGAAAGAGGAGGAGAGCTAACAAGAAAAGGAAATATAAAGGTACAACACAAGTTAGATTATCCTCTAATGGGACAAAATGTTCATCCATCTGACCCTTTTCGGTCAGATGATTGCTTCTGTTCCACACAAATTGAATAAACATCTGGTTGTTGACTTGTTGAAGAAAGAATGTCTAGGATTGTCTTCCAACTAGGATTGTACTCATAAATCTTCTTGCCCATCCCATTTTGTTACCAATATCTGCATAACTTTAACTGTGGACACATTACAGCTAGGGAAGCAAAAAGGACGACGAAAAAGCCACGAGACAGCTAAAAGGATGGCAAAGAAGCCATGGCACAGCAAGGTGCTATCAACGGTCGATGGTAAATGGCTTTTGTAATGGATATAGTGTTTTGCTTCCTCAGCTCTAACAGTTCTTTGTATTGCAGGGAAGGAAGGATAATTAGATGGTGCATAAGTTTAACTTAAGCCATGGTTGCAACTGGTTGACAGATTAGAGAAGAGGAAAAGAAGAAGAGGCTAAGGTGGGAGAGTTCATCTTGAAGATCTCATTTGCTCAATTTCTTCTCCTCACCATTCTGAGTTTTGATGGAAGAGTGAAGAAAAAACCCTGTACAAGGCATATGAAAATTATGAACAAAACACTTGAAAGGGAAATTCTTACGTCCTTAATTTGTTTGTTTTTTGAAATTTTTATTTACTGTTACTCAAAATTCGGAGATAAAAATTTGTATTAGACAGTATGATCATATTAGATCGTATAAATCAAGGAGTTATTATTTACCGAAATCAATCCATGAAGTTAATCCGTGTCCAAGAATTCTAGAAAAATAAAAGAGAAAATAGGACTCGGTGATGGACAAAAGAATTGATTTATCGTTTTAAGATTAATTTTTCACTGTGAAAATCTATCCCGACCTTTATTTTTCGGTATTTCACCATATGAGGGACTTATGATCAAACAAAGAAAATTTGTTATTCTGCTTCATAAATTGGAAAATTAATTGAAAAATCCTTCAAAATATTGTGAAATTGTTACTAGAGTGTTCTTATTCCTCAATAAACGAAACAAGGCCTATGCTCTTTCTCTGAGATTTTCATCCTTCTCACCGGACAATAGGGAGATCTTCAAGCCTTGCTCAATTTTCTGTTCTACTTATTCAAATTTTCTTCAAGCCTTTCAATTGCTGCACCAACTCCACTCCTTGCTTCTCTTTGATCTGAATCAGGATGTGTAGACGGGTTCCCTTCATTTGCTTTCTCTACCAGCTTCAAATGCGCCCACCCTGCCACAAAATGCATCAACCCATGTTAGTGGCATACGATCGATAAATGTACACTTTGGGAAGATTAGAGGGTTGAATGTATTACCAAATGGAAAACCCAATGCTGCTCCTAGGACGGCACCAAGCATCACATTTCTTGCTCGCCATGGCAATGATCCTGGCACTGATTGAAGAAGAAACCAAATGTTAGACATCGTATTCTGAAAAGGCTTGAAGCATCAAACGAGAAGCCGATGCTTCAATGCATGCCAACGACGACAACCAGTTAACAAAGAAGCTCAGAAGATTAGATATGACTCTTACTTATTAGACCAAATGTAGCAGCAGTGGCTGAACCGGCTCCAACAACATTGAAAACATCATGCACACCCCTTTTCTCAGCAAGCAGATTTTGTATACCACAAAATGTAGCAGTAAACAATCCAAGACGCACTCCACCAACTATCGAGCCCCAAGTGACTCGTATGAACCTTTTCTCCATTGCATCTCTCATCATACGATATTGTTCACGCTTGTCTGGTGTGCTCCCAAGCTTCAACATTACTTCTGCATCCTTGCTCTAGTTTCAACAAAATACATTTGAAATATGATGTTAAAAAGAGAAATCAATCAGATGAATAAATAGTCAATATCAACAAAACCACTTTACAAGTAATGTTATCTAACATCTTCTGAGATTGAGATCAAAATCAAACACCTCAATCGTTCAAACATTGTTATGAATCACTACAAAGCATCAAAACAAGCACTTGGAGCATTGTTATTTTGATACCATACAAACTTACAACTGAAGCAGATGCCTCCTTGCTACCACCATAAAACAGGCCTGCAAATACTCCGATCACAGTTGCTGTGCCCCAGTTGACAGTTCCTGCTAGTTTTTGAGAATGCTGATTCAAAGAAAACAACATCATAGTTAGGCTAACAGGAATTTTAGCAAACACACGATGGGCAATTCGAATATAAAGTACCACTCAAGTTTCAGAAACACATAACAGACAAAACCCAAATTCCAAAATCTGCAATTTAACAACTTTGAGGACCCAATTAAACGAGTGTCTCTAAAATCCAAAACTTGACCAAGAAATGAACAAAAACAATTATTTGAATGGCCTAATTAATTACATATTGCTCGGTTTTAGAGAACTATCGTATAAGAAGAGCAAAAAAGTTCACATTTTTATAACTATATTAGTAAGTAAAGTGAGCAGAGAAGATAATCAATTACGTTTGAGACGGTTTCTTCTGATTTCTCCAGAGATTCCATGATCAAATAGTATGATGCTCTTCACACTGACAATAACACTGTGTTTCGTTTCCAATAAAATTAGTGTTCTTTATCTCTTCTCGCCGAGGAAGCGAGAACAGCTGGAGGCAGTTAGAATTACTGTTGTATTTTCTGGGCAACCAAACAGAGGGTAAGCGGCATGAGAACGGTGGTGATGACCGCCATCGCCAGTTCTCAATTCTCAGTGAGGTGGCACGTGGAAACTTGAGAGTCAAAATAAGGATCAGACAAACGACATGTCGTTGCAAAGTTGCAATCTTTATGTAGCTAGCTAGGCCTTGCAATGATGAATCATGAATTATAGGGAACTTTTGTTTTGTTTTTTTTTAACTTTATCCACAATTTTGCAAACAAACAGAAGCCAAGAAATTCCAATTTAACTTTACCTCCTAACTATATGACTACATCTTCTTTAGTTGTTCTTTTTCTAAGTAGCAGTGTCGCTGTTATGTCTTGTTATTTGATTGCGCCTTACTGTTTATGGGCTTTGTATCTCTCGGATTTTTGCCTAGTTGTTATGAAATTCCATCTTTCATACCCAAAAAAAAAAGGGGGGGATGTCAAGAAATGACAGCTAAAAACATAAAGCAACCCAATGAGAATCATTTCATGCAATTTTTATTGCCTTGCAGTACCCAAAAGCAAGCTTCCAATTTGCAAAAGCTACACTAAAGTTTTAAAAACAAATAATTTCTCCAACCAAAAAGAGAAACAAAACCGATAAACAATTCACCAAGATTCTCAACACTACATGTGATTGTGAACAAAGTCCCCCAAATCATGCCCACAAGGCTACAACATCAGACATTAACTCAACCCTCCAAGCAAAGTATCATTGCAGTTTGCACCAATTCACAAACCACTTCTCAAATTCTCTCTCTCTTTCTCGGATAAACCCATGAGTACTAGTACAACTATGCTCATTCTCAGCTTCCTCTACCTTCTATTTTCAGCATTAATTCCATCAAATTCAGGCAATGCTGCATGCAGATCCTATTGTGGAAACCTCACCATAGATTACCCATTTGCGCTCCATTCGGGCTGCGGCCACCCGGGTTTTCGAGAACTCCTATACTGCATAAACGATGTGCTTATGTTTCACATAAGCTCAGGATCTTACAGGGTCCTAGACATAGACTATGCTTATCAAGCCCTCACTCTACATGACCCTCACATGTCAACTTGTGACAACATAGTGCTAGGAGCAAAGGGTAACGGCTTCTCCGTCGAGCAATGGCGGGCCCCGTACATGAATCCGACGGCCGACAACGTATTCATGTTGATAGGCTGCTCAGCTCAATCACCACTCTTCCAAGGCTTTCCGGGAAAGCACTTGCCCTGTAGAAACGTTTCAGGCATGAGCTGTGAAGAATACTACGGTTGCCCAGCATGGGATTTGCTGGGCGGCCACAGGAAGGTGGGCTCCATGTTTGGGTCAGGGCCACCTGAGTGCTGTGCAGTGCCATTTGAGGCCATCAAGGCCATTAATCTTACCAGGCTTCAGTGTGAAGGGTACAGCAGTGCCTATAGTCTTGCCCCATTGAGGCTTGATGGGGCTAATGGGTGGTCTTATGGGATCCGAGTGAAATATTCTGTTCAAGAAAATGATGAATTTTGTAGGGCTTGTGAGGCTACTGGTGGCACCTGCGGGTATGGAACTGATGGCATTAGGCAATTGTGCATGTGTGGGAAATTGAATTCTACATCAAATTGTGATTCTGGTTAGACATTAACAGCTTCGTCATGATTCTCATTTTCTGTTTTATATATATAATTCAATTAATAATTTTATTGATGATCTTTATGTGTGATGCAGTAAAGTCATCATCAACAAGAACATACTCTGCGGTGGACAGCTATACATTGATAGGTATCTTCTTCAGCTGTTCAGTCATTTTGCTGCAATTGACCTTCAAATTTATCATTTCATCAAGCTCGTAAATGAAAAATTAGTTTCCAATTATCCAACTTTGGTATCTAATTTGGTTACTTGTTTGCAGGATCACTGGTGTGTCTGCTAGCATGGATTACAAAGAACCATTATCCATCACCATATGTTATGCATCTCATTATGTGAATGTCAGATTTATATATTGTTGGCTTCTTGCGTGTTATATATTGTTGGCTTCTTGTATGCATACATGAGAGAGAGAGAGAGAGAGAGAGAGAGAGAGAGAGAGAGTTGTAAACATACTTTTGAAAGTTATTATGCCTCCATTGTTTCACTTTCACATAAGCAAATAGTACACTTGACTTTGGATTTGAAAGAGGAAGAGAAATGTTGGAATTCTTTCCAAGTCGATTTATTTTTCCCGAAAATTACATGAAGTCCAAAATTTCACCTTTCTACTCTTACCCTTTTTTCTTGCCAACATCTTGCTGCCCTATTAAGGGATGATCTAGTACATTGCATTCAACAGTAAATTACAAAAAGATCCGTTTGCCTTATTATGTTCTTTCAAATGCGTACTCTACATCGGCTCTCGATCATGATGAGTTCAAAACTGATATCTGAGGCATCCTTAATAAACAATTGTATCTTTCTTCATTGTCTGAAATCATTAATCAAAACGGATTAAAGGAATTGATAAGTTTCATCACATCCTGAAGATGTTAATTATATATGGTCAGACCACTCACATTGGATATATCTACCCATTGATCAAGGGTCCTGATAGCCTTCCCTGAAATTTGGGTTTCACGAGCCAACGAAACTCCTTCGGCCAAGGTGTTCACCTGACCGCTGACAAAGAGAGCTGCTGCAGCATTTAAGATCTGGCCAACAGATTTGGTAATGAATAGATATCTCAAACATAGGAAGGACGTAACGAAATCCATATTTAGTTGTAACAATCAAGAAAACATACAAATGCATCTGCAATGGAACCTTTCTCCCCTGACAATACACGCTTTAGTGCCTCAGCATTATACTCAGGGCCTCCACCTCGCAAGTCATCTAGGGTGCAGCGAGGAATCCCAAAATCCACTATAACATAAAAATAATGATTTTCTTGTAAGTTCAATGAAAAATCATCCGAAAATCTGAAAGCAGCAATAAGCATAAGAATTAATAGTTGAGAACTAGAAACAAAAAATTCTCACATGGATCAAAGGAGAACTCCTCAATTTTATTAGGAGTCACATCAAGGATATGCCCAGGTCCTATATTCAAATCAATTACATGTAAGTTAGGGTTATATTTGAATTAGAAGCAAAATAAAGATGATAATGTATTAGCTTAAGGCAGTAAAAGGCCTCGTACAACTTCCTAAAACATAGACTATAATAAAAAGTGGGATTTTACCAAGTGGACTCATTTCGTCCAAGCCCTGTGAGTGAACAACTAATGCTCTCTTCATTCCAAAGCTTTGCAATGCTTTAGCCATCTTCAAGACCTACACAATTAAGAAATATAATGAGCCACATGCACACTAGTTAGTTATAAGATAAAGTCCAAGTTTCTACAAGATGTACCTTGTGTCCACTAAAGTGTTAAATAAACAAGATACATTATTATCATTACACAAGCGATGCCAAAACTATTTACATGAAGTGAAACCCATAGTCAACAAAGAAATATAACATAGTTGTTTCATTTGGTTCTACACCTTTAACATGAAGTGTAGGAGACTAACTGTTGTTGTCCCCCACAAATCACCATCTAAGCTCATTATAAGATAAGCAACAATCCATTCTAAGTTTAGACAATCCAAAGTACTCTAGATGATGAGCCTTAAAGGAAACTACTCAAAATCTGAAAATCAGACAGTCATCATGGCCTTATGTTATTCATTCAAACATAAATTATTCCCGCATTGACAAAAACAATGTAGAAGTTCTTTGGATCATTCTGAGAATTGCTTTCTTGTCAACATCTTTTTATCACAGAACAAGAAATGTCATCTTTGCATAAAAATCCCTAGTTAAGAAAATTGTTTCAAAGCAAAAGTAACCGCATTGAAAGTATCAGTATTTATAGAAAAATACAATTGCACACACTGGAACAGTGTGTCAACAAATCATCAAATTTAGCATAACGTGTTATCTACATGCCTAAGGTACGTGATACAAAAATAAAGCTAAGATCAAGATATAAATTTGTTTGTGAAAAAACAATGATATTTCTAATATTTCCAAAATTCTATGAATAAACACTTACGAGCTCATCCTTGTATACACCAACAACAGCAAACGGTACTCTTGCTGGATTCAACAAGGGTCCCAATATATTAAATACAGTCTTTACTTTCAGCTTTTTCCTAACAGGGCGGACAACATTCATTGCTGGATGATACTTGGGTGCCATCATAAATCCAATGCCTGCTTCATTCACACATCTAGTTACCCCCTGGTTCAAGAAAAATCACAATTGAATGAGCATCTTTCTAGTCAAATTTGACATCACAGCTGCACATTTTATTTAATATTTTGGCTATTCTCAATGACATTTTAAAAGGAAAAGTATCTGATCTATTCACCTCAATTTAAAGTTTCTTGTAGCTACTACTAAACAACTAATGACAATAAAAGGGGTTTGAGGAGACCTAGGTTTAAGGCATTCATCATGCCTCTCTTTCTGCACCTGAGGCTTATGGGAAGCCAGGACATTGATTGTACTAACTAGACTCCACTATACCATCAATCCATATATTTGAAACCAAATGTTTAATGCACCAACCTCAGGGTCCAAGTCAATTATTATTCCCAAAGATTCTAATACATCAGCACTTCCACATGCAGAGGAACTGGAACGACTTCCTTGCTGAGATACAACAGTTATTAGATACTAATTATAGTTTGATAAAAATCACATAAAACATGACAGCATCAATGAAGATAGATGTTACCTTTGCAACTTTTGCACCGCAAGCTGCAGCAAGTATTGCAGCCCCTGTTGAAATGTTTACAGTGTTTGCGCCATCACCACCAGTTCCAACAATGTCAACTGCATCATCTATGCCTTCTATCTTCAAGCTGTGCTTCATCATCCCCTTTGCCAATCCCACAATCTGTTTAATCATAAAAACCAATAATAAAAAATTATACAGGGGAAATAGGAACAGTCATCCTTTTCCCTTTTCTTTGTGAATAAAGTAGAAGCCACAGACGGAAACACAAAGACAAAAAATAAAACAACCTACTGAAACAACAGGATCATCAGAAAGACAACAGAAACACCATGAAAAAACCAAACCACCACGGATACAGAACAAAGATCAGTAAACCAACAAGATGGCACAACCAGCTGAATCCAAGAAAAACGAGCAACTCAAGTCCTGTTATCATGCAGGCCCTTAAGAGAAAAACGAATATCCCAGTTGTCACACGGTTGCCTACTATTAAAAGAATTGTTCATTCTAAATATGCCATTACGTAGCCTACATTTCTTTTTAACATACTTTTTCTAGTCAAATGTATTCCATTCTACTGATTTTAAGTAGCATTATTGACCTAGATAAAAAATGCGAAACAATTGTTACAAACAAATCCAAATAACTGAAGCAGATAACTTTAGCAGAGTTCAAATGCATGCATACTACACAATCTACAGTTGACAGATATTGAAAAAACGTTGAACACAACATCAGAAAATTCATGTCTGGGAGTTTCAGAAACTTGCTTTTGAAAATTTGTATGTTTACCCACAAACTTAAGAAGAACATATCAAGTAATGGCAACAAAAATGCAAAGTTCATATTTGCAGATGAAAGGAAACTATAAACAATAGCTGAAACCGCCCTCATCAGATCTTTGCAAACAAGTGCAAAGAATCAACCCACATAAATACGTTTCACATATAACCCATCACCGAATTGGAACATGCCAACGATTAAATCCAATAACATTGATAAACACGAACCCATCAATAATAACATCTTGTGCAGTTGTTCTCTGAGAGTAATCCAAAAACATACCAAAAGGGAAAATAAATGGGTTGAACTGAAACAACATACACAAAGAAGAAATGGATGGATAACCATACCTGAACAATCAATCTACCATGACAAAATGACACCAAAATGAGTGTTATCTGGGTCTCAATAAAAATGTACTTCTTAAATTTTCCTAATTTTAAGTAACATTATTGACCACCAATCATCATCTGTACCACTAGAAACAGGAGATTTCAGGCATCTAATTTGAATTTGAACAAGTTGTTAGCTCCTAGCATGGGGCCATCTCACTCACCCTCATGAATAACATGACTAAACTTAGTATGCAAATTAGTCCCAATATCACAGTCCCTTTCATATTTGAATTGATAAGATTTCAGAGATTCACAGAAAAGGAGGAAATAATTAATCTCAAAATAGTTCCTAAAATTTGGTGGATACAAGAAAAGTTCACAAACAAAAGTTTAAACCGTAGTAGAAGAATAATCTAAAAGTACCTAAAAGAAACCGGAACGTCGAACAAATAAACAAACCTCGAAACTCTTAGTAATGGAGAATATTTTTCATTTTAAAAAGAATTCTTACTTCTCCATAAGTCTCTCCTTTGGCTCTCAATAATACAAGGAAAGCACTTATCAAAGCCTCATTAGCATCTCTCAGCAAAAATTCCAATGAAGCTTCAGCCTCCGCCTCTGATAAATCCACGCGATCAATCAACGACTCGATCAACTGCAAAACCACAACAAAATCTCACAAACCCAAATTTGTTTCTTCCCAAAATAAAAATAAAATAAATCACAAGTCACTGAAAATTGAACCTAAAGAAACCCAATTGGTACCTCATTGAAAGAAGCTATTGGTGGCTTTGATCTCTCAGAAACAATGGGCGAAGCAGAGACCAGAGCACAAACTCGAGCAGCTGAGCTTCTTTGCTTTGTGTTGGGAGCTAAAGGTATGCAGCTGCTGCTCAGAAAGTTGAGCTTAGTGCGGTTAGTCAATGAAGCAAGACTGGTCAGAGATTGGAGTTGCGTTGACACTGCCATGGTGGTAACCTGTAAACGATTGGAACTAAAAACAAATCTCTTCTCAACCCAAACTGTCTAATATCAGATTTCTAAGACGAAAAGCGCATTGGCCAAGTCAAGTTTCAGAGAAAGTTGGGGGCTTAGAAAATTTTCACCAACTTCTGCTCTCGAAAGCCTCAATCTTTGTATACTATCAAACTTCTAACAAGGAAATTCCATTGCCCAACATAAGTTTCAGAGAAATTTGAGAGCTTTGAAGATTTTCACCAACTCAGTCTTTGGAAATTGGAGCTATTCCACGGAAACCTGGGCGGTTTTATGCACAATCCCAGATTGTTAAAACGTCTTTTATTTGGCAGAGACTGTTAAACCTTTATTTGCGGGGGGTGGGGACAGAGTTTTCCATTTGAATATAACCGCACACAAATCTCCATAAAATATTTTCAACGTTTATTTTGTCTTTTATTTTGTAAATTTCTTGCCACCAAAAAACGTTGGGTGGGGTGGGCAAAGAAAAAAAATACATAAAATGTGTCAAAAAATAAATAAAAATGTGGGCTTTATTTAGTTGAAAACCCCAAATGGTGTGTATTATTATGACTAACGCTTCACATAACGGATTTAAGATAAAATCATTTTCCATGTCATTTCCCAATGAGTCAAAAATGGAAGATTCATTTCTCACTTTTGGTAATGCCAAAAAAATAACTAGATATACCACTTCATTTCTTTTCATATGTTTGTTTTGAATGTGAATGGAAAACAAAGTTTGTATAATTTTTAAATTATACTCATATTAAATCAAATAAAAAAGATTGCATTTAATGTTATATTGTAATTCTAAATTGTTAATGGTGACAAAATGATCATAACAAATCTGTATTTAATATTGGCTTATCTAAACATGGGAAAACGATTGATTTCTCATCCTCAAACCTCCTTTCCATAAACGAAACGGGCCTTATTGGGTTTGTAACTCAAATGAATAGGTGTGTTTATTCATGCATTCAATGTTTTGTATGTTATTCTCTTATATCACTTGTATTTACAGTGAACAAAAGTGCAAAGCACTCAGATTCTCATATTTTAAGTTCAAATTTCTACCAATGCTACCTACAAGCCTATAATAATCTTCCCTAATTTGCTAACAAATCGTATCCAACTTGGTTTCTGATTCATGTTATAGGTACAAAGGGTGTATCCGAAATCAACCAATTGGATGTTTAAAATTCTCTATAAAAGTAATAACTATTATTATTACACTTAATAGTTACCTTTGTTTTTTGGGTCAAGTACTAGTTTCCTTTTTTATTGGGTCGAAGAATACAATGGCCACCTAACCTCCTCAAATTTTATCCTCAGTAACTTCCATATGTAAAACCATCCATAGTCCTGTGATGCAGACCATCTGATCAATCTATGATGCAATAGGTTTTTCTTAAAAGTAATGGAATTTGAAGAAACATAACAGCGATTTCTCACATCATTTAGTAAACAAATTCATATGCGTAATTATATTTTTGTAATTAATGGATCTGTCAACTAACAACTGATTTGCCAAATTTGCGAGTGTTTTCTGAAATCTTCCCTACAAGGATCCATCAATGTTGCATGCAACTTGTTGAGAGAAGAAAGCAATTTCTTCTAATTCCTCCACTTAGCTAAGGCTAATATGGGCAATTGGGCATAAGGATGGACGACTGATTTTGAGACCACAACTTTTTGTGAGAGGCTAAGCTAATGTGATATGGGCAATTGGGCATAAGGATGGATCACTGATTTTGAGACCACAACTTTTTGTGAGAGGCTTTGGTCGGTACAGCACAACGTTATATTCAGAAATTATGACCGCATTCATGGAGGCTTATCTATTCATAGGGACTTATACATCCAACAACATTACACATCATCTTGTTTTCTTTCATGCTTAGTCTCTTGATAATTTGCAACAAACTATTAGTTTCGTTTGGTGTGGTTAATCTCTACTTTATATTAGTTAACCAAAACAAAAATGTATTAGTTTAGTTTGATAATGTTAATCTCAGCTTTATTTGTTGAAATATATAGTCGTGGAATCTCTGGTCCACTTAATTAGAAGAAGTTTCAAGTTTAAACTCCTCTCTACAAGTAATTTTTCTTTTTCTTTTTCTTTTCTTAAAGGAAAAAAAAGTTTGTGGGGCCAATTAGTCCAAACAGAGCTGGATGGGCTTCTGCAGCGGCCCATGAATTATCCAATCTCCTATCCTTTTAGGGCACGTATAACTTCAAGCCCATTTGGCAGTTTCTTCTTTTGGGTCACTTTCGGTCGACAGGGGGACAAATGCTTTTCCATGGAAACCAACCATTTGTAAACACATGCCATTTTCGGAAAGCAGCCCAAATTGTCATGCGATCCTCACGAGCTATTTTTGGAAAGAAAAGGATTTCTTAATATTGTTCGACTTTTTAAGAAACCTATAAAGGCCAACAAACAAGGACCAAATTGGAATATGATCATATATATATATATAGAAATTATAATGGAGGAAATGTATGAAAATTATATCATGTATGAATGTATGTATGCTAGTACATCCAAAGAGGTTTGCAGAAATCACATTAACCTCTTAAAGAAGCAAGCAGCTAATTGAAGCACATAAAAAAAGCACTCAATTTCAGAATTCAATCTGTGCAAAACATGGCCGCTCTGCCCATCAACTGTTACATGCGGATGGAAGATTTTTGCACGTAAACTCTTCTAACAATCACACACACCGTCGTGTGTGTGTATATATATATATATATATGTATGTATGTGAAAATAATTCAGAAAAAATGATGAACATCACAAACTTAATCAAGCATCTACTAGCACACATCTATATATCTCAAAGCATCACAAGTGATGAAAGACAGAGAGATGATAAATAACTATCGTGAATTCAGATAAAACAATATTTACAGAAGAAGAAAAACCTATAACCTAATGCATACAGAAGAAGAAGGAAAACGAAAGAGGCTGGCTATGAAAATGATGGGGTTGCTTTGGTTTTTATCAAGGATCTGAGGTCTTCTAGGGCAACCTGGAGCCAGGGTTTCGGGCAACGGGCAGCTTGGTGCCTAGAAGGAAGGATTTGGGGCAGCGTTATCTGAGCTGCCCAAATAATAAACAAGTCTGCAAGTTGCAATGTTTTGATACTCTTGAGCTTATCTCTTGGTGTGGTAGTTGAGGCACGTAATGCATATGTAACGTAAGACACGTGCGTTCACATACACACATTTGTCGAAAGCATTAAAAAGGGAATATGCTTGTAGTTTCTTTTTTAATTTTTAAAAATTTTCTTAAGCATAGGTCCAGAAGTTTAGTTGATTTGAGATAGTCTATAAGTTTTTTTTTTTTTAATACAAGTTATACTCGGAAGGAAGATCCGACGCAAGTACATGCTTTGAAAGTTAACATCTCATTTTTGTTTGGTATAATGCCTCTCATGATTCTTGGTAGAAGATTCGAGATTTTTGGTAATTCAATTTGGCTAAAACAATAAAGGGAAAGGATTGTCCATCTTTACTTTATAGATTTTCACAAGATCTTAGGGATTGTTATTAACAATAATACACCGTGCCTACCACGAAAAACATAAGATTAGTGGTGTCTAATCACAATTATACAGCCCCATGTCGACCATTACTGGCTCAAGCTAAACAGGGGAGTAGGACTTAAGTTACTGCATACTTTATAGGAAAAGCTGAGACCCTTTTTACAGTCACTTTTTTAAGTGTAACTCTAGTGTTACTTTACACACAACTATGAATAATACATGAACAAGCTATTCCCAGCGGCACTAGCAATCAAGTTTGTTTCTGGATGCCATGCCAAATGTAGTAGCCTGGAGCTTAGGTCATAACTACTTTCATTACTGCCCGAGCTTGAATTTTCATGCCCTGAAAAATCAGAAAAGACAGGTTTTAATCTGCAGATAGATATACTCTGAGTCTGAAGAAGGCAAAGAAACATAATGAGGTTGAGAACCCCAACCGTGCCGGTAAAATCCTCGTGCCAGATTGCTCAAGGATGACCTCCTAGCCCTTGCAGCAGTCCGGATAAGTGGTTTCCTGCTTTAAAGTTCATAAAGGAAGTAAAACTATCAGGGAAAATAAGATACAGACAAGAAATAAAACTGAACCTGCATACTGTATAACACTGAAATTATGTACATTTTCCAAGTGACAATGGAATTGGTTCGCAATTCCAACTCTCAAGTACTGTTGCTATTTCCTTATTGTAAGAGCAAAATGACCATTACACTTTTTGGGTGAGGGGTAGAGGAAATCATTCATGTCCATGGAGACCATTTCACTAAAAAGAAAAATTTGCAAAATAGAACCCTGCCCTCTTGACTATAAGGTTAGATTACACCAACTCCAAAATTTACAATTTGAGGGGAATTAGGGAGAGGATACCTGTTGGGAGTTTTGCTAGCTTCTATTGTAGCTCCTTCTTCGCTTCCATCTCCACCGGAGAAAATGCGCACTAGGTTGCTAAGTCAAAATAAAAGAAAGTTGTAACAGTTGGGCGAACACAAGTTGCACAACTTTGATGGGCAATAACAGCACTGGGACTTATATGCGAGAGTACATCCTGTGAAAAGGACATACCTATAAGATCCAGTTGCAAAATGAAGTCCATCTCCACTGAAGCAGCAACCAAATCTATCAAATATGCGATCATTGTTATACAACTCAGATAACTGCAAGGGGGAAAAAAGATGTCAGCTGTAGGGGCTACGAAGATATGGGTATGCAAGGTTGCACGTTTAAACTTAAAAGTAAAAGCTAAAGATACCATAAGTCAGCTGCGTGGGTCAGTTCACAGGTTGTTTAAGCATTAACATGGAGAAAATTTCATGTTGGAAGTTTATGCTCCAATTGTCCATGAACCTAATTCCATACATCTATAAATACAAATTTAAAAAATCTCCAATTTGGAGTTAAAACAGTCATTCTTTTCCTTACCTTAGGGCGCAGATGCTCATGAATCTTGTATATTGCAACTGGTGAAGAATCCATATGAGTGTCCCAGAGCTAACACAAAAAAAACAAAAGCATCAATCAAAATAAATCCACACCAGCAGAAAAGGGTAAGCGCTGTCTCACTAAACTCATATAACAGGACATGAATTTTAAGAATGCCATCATAAATAAATTTATATAAACATCTCATTTAATCCGTCCTTAAAATAAAGATTAAACTATAAACTCTCAAAGTAAACCTCAACCAGTATAAAATACCTTTAGATTCATGTAGTCACGACTTAAGATGTGCCGTCCATCCCTCGAAAACTTCATATCAGAAATGGATGCAATAATTTCTGTGAAAAATGATTTCAGCCCATGAGAATCTCCATCTTGTAATCTGTCAATCCCTCCAATCCCAAATAACAAGTATCAGAACATCCTTGTGCATTAGATAATAACTAATAATACACAGATCACAAAAACGAGAAGAAACTCTGATTAGACTCACATTCTTGCACTGTGATCGCACAAAGCTGACTGCCGCATGTCAACTAAACGAATAAAACCTCTTGAGCTACTGTATGCAAGCAGATTACAATGAACGGGATGGAATTCAGCCGTTGTTATGACCTCTGAATAAAAGTTTATCAATTAGTGCAGATTACAAAACAACGACATACGTCTGCCCTTTGAGCAAACATTTTCTTGAATTCAAACCATCTTTCCACAATTGTGACATATATCTTGGTCATGGAAAAGCATGAAATCAACACAACTAAACAAAACTAAGATCACAACTGGTAGAGATCGTCATCCAGAAAAAAAAATATATATATAAAATGTTTGAAGATAATATAGCATGTTCTAGTATATATATATAAGCTCGCAGAAATTATAAGATGTAAAGACTAGAGGATAGAATACCAGTAAGATCCTCCATGTTTGCTGGCTTCATATCAAGGATATTGAAACACTGATCACTGATCTCAAGATTCCACAAGTTTATTCTAAGATCATCCGCAGAAAGAAATGTTTCACAATCACTGTACAAGGTTTAAAACAGATTCTCTCTTAGAAGAAGCATACATCTGCAAGTGTATAACTATCTACTTTACAAAATGGTTTCTGCAATTTGGAGAACAAATAAGAGTAATCAAATTAAGAACAAGTAAAGGAGGCGTGTCTGCATAATGGAAAAACAAAGATAGCTTCTCTCATAGCCTAAGTTTATGTGCAAGGAAATTTGTAGCTAGAGGAAGAGTAACTAAATGAGATAAAGATACCCACAAACTTTACCTATTATTTGAGATGGAGTTAATATTAAAATCATGAGCATGAGCATACACCTTTCGGCATCTTGTATGAGCAGTATCTTCCATGTCAGCTGCCTAGTCACGTAATAAACTTGTGCACTGTGAAAAACTGATTCTAACAGCACAAGAGTAATACAAAAAAATAGCTTTACTATACTGTGGGTATCAACCTTGGAATGCATGTCTTGAGATGGTGAGGCATTCTTAGCGATCTTCTCCATCCATTCCTGGCGATAGCCATTCGCAACAGCTGGTTTATCTTCCCTACTGACGAAACTCCTTTCAGCCAGAAGCATGTTATCTAAACATGCAAATGGATGAGCGTTCATTTCTTTTACTTTCTTCACCTTGCATTCCTTGACCTGATCCCAAAACCAGAAAGCAACCACGTTAACATTTCCCAAGCAATATTAACAGAGTTGTATATGGATCTAGTGTGGTTGTGATTATTCAATGTTGTTAGACAATAAAATATGCAAACTACCAATGATTTTCAAGACAAAAATGTTCTATCCTCGTTTTCAGTGTTCTTTTTTTCATGTATAATGATTTGGCACTTTAATTTTCCAATTTCCAATCTTCCCATGCAATTTTTCACCCAAGAACACAATTCTATTGCTTAGAAGCAGTTGTTTATCAATGACCAAACTAACCATATCAGTCCCACTCCCAACAAATCCAAGTCCTACACTACCATCAATCTCAATGTCCACCATTTGAAGTTAAAATGATTTCATCATTAGATTTCGTACCTTCCACAGTTTTATTGTCTTGTCATTTGTAGAAAGCATGAATTGGGATCCACTAGATGTTGCACACCATCTAACTTTGTTGATCTTCTCTTCAATTTCCACACTCTTTAAGTAGTCAAACTGAGTAAAAGGTAATAACATGATAATATAATAATAATCAGCATTGCACAAAATAAATCATATGCACTGGTACACTCCATACATGCATCAACACACACCATAATACGTTGCATTTGTTAAAAACAAGATTCTAATACATACCTCGGGTTCATGACCTTGAAACTCAGTCTTAAATTGAAACTCAGGATGCTGGGTGGATGTGAAATCCAACTGCTCCAGCTCATGTCGAGAATGATGCTGATTTAAAGTCTAAGAAGCCAATTAATAATTAAGGGTAAAAAGAACGTAAACCCAATTTCATCCAACAATAGATGCCAAAACAAACCAACACAGCCACCAGCCTAACAAGGAAGATAGCCCCAAGTGAATTCAAAAAACTCTTGCATATTTGAAAAGTATCCATTTAAAATTTATTGACCGATTCGAAAGTGTACAGGCAATTCTCACATGTTTCCCATCCTTCCTCTCGAATATTATGCAGCGGCCACCTCGATCTCCAATAGCAAGGAAATCACCACTCTTGTCGAATTCTATTGCAGATATCATATCAACTACAGGAAAGAGCATCACATAAGGAGTCAAGAGCAGAATTTATTTGTTTATTCTCTACAAAAAATGTATACGAAACAAACTGAAAACGGCCAAGATGAAAAATGAAAAACTTAAAACAATAAAATCAACTTTTACTCCAAAAGTTTCAAGTAATTTATACCTTCTCTCTGTTTAAAACAGAGCTTATGGAACCCCCCCTCAGGAAAAGGAAAAAAGAGTTGAACTAAACCTCAGCTCAGGGTCGTATAAATGTTAGAACAAGCAAGAAAGTAAAAATTAGAGCAATTAATCTTCCTATTCATGAGCTTTCTCAGTAACCAAACACAGCATAAGGAAAAAAACCAATTAAGCATTTCAATGAATTCACGAGCACAACACACATATAGATACATGTATAGAGACAGAAAGAGAGAGGGAGAGAGTCTAACCATCCTGAAGGTCGTCTCCGGGAGCTCGTTCGCCGAACACCTGAGAGAATTTCCAGTCTAGAGGAGCGGGAGGGTCAGAGCTCAAAGTCATGGCTGGCTTCCAATACGACGACGTTCGTGTTCGCTTGGCTTTGTCTTTGCACTCATAAGAATAGAATCAGAGAAGTTCTTGTTCACTGAGGGTAAGACTCATGATCATTGAATCTGTCTGAGTCCGAGATTCCTCTTCTCCGTCAACCACTCGAATTCCCACAGAAATGATTTTCCAGATATGCGCCAAATTTTAACATTTGGGCCATTGGTTTGTATAGTAATCACAAAATTTCACATTTTAAGGCCCAATGAGTCTCTCTCTGCATTGCATGCCGTTGAATTTTTTTTTTCTTTATTGTTTTAATTGTATAAACTACTAAGCGTGATTCGACCAAAGAAAAAAACTACTAAGTGATAGCATAGACACATGTTGTTGCTAATTTACATGTTGTAATATAAATGGATAATAGAATATAGTATTAATATATAAATATACGTGCTTTAACATAAGTGGATTAGTAACATCACGTGACGGTGTGACTGTCTCATTGAGAAATTACTCACCACATAGCAAAAACACAAGAACCAAAATAAGTTATAAAGAAAGAGAAAAAGAAAGAGAACTACATCTACAAGACTACATTGCAAAATCTTCTATTTCTAACACAAGGTTCCCTCATTCATTTACAAGAATTTGCACTAATTGTAATTACAAAGCATTTCACCCACTATAGATGCAGTTTGCATCCTATCTTATACCTTGGTTTGGATGCTTCAATGGTTGCGGGGCATAGCGGTGGACGACTTTCGAGGAGGAGACCCCTCTCCATCTATTGGTTGTGACAAAAAGTACTTCATAGAAGTTCTAGAGACATCTGAACTAAGTATGCTAGCATTCAGGAATGGAGGCCGCTTTGGTGAAGGGATGACACATTCTTTATCAGTCAGCATCTGAACCACTTCAGTCATAGATGGTCTCACTGCAAGAGAAGCTTGCGTGCACAGAAGCCCGATTCGAAGTACATCGGATGCCTCTCTCTCCGGGAATCCCCCTTTCAAGATGGGATCAACAGCTTCAGTAATATTTCTTGCCTTGTAATGCTTCCAAACCTAATGCCATAAGAAAAAAGATAACACACAAACAAAAATATGCATGTCATTAAGCATGTTGGGCAAACTTTGTTTACAATGAATGATAACCATGCAGTTTGGTTCAAAGGAATTCTTTTTCTATTGATAAGGTCTGCATTGTCCAAACTTAGAGCTCCAATCAAATAATGCATCAGGGATGTGAATCTCACAGCGTAGAGAATTGAACTTGAGCCCTCTGCGAAAACACGATTCTTCCTGCCGCTCACAATCTCAAGAACCATCACACCAAAGGCATAAACATCAGCCTTATCTGTTAACTGTCCTCGGACAAGATATTCAGGAGCCATATATCCCCTACAACAAAAATATCAGATTAATTTTTACCCCATGGCTCTACCTTTTGCAGTATTTGAGTGTAAACATATCTAAAAGGTGGAACAAAATTACTGGGAGTGATTTCTTCTTACAATGTACCCGCAATTCCTGTGCTAAGATGAGATTTATCAGGACCAACACATCTGGCAAGCCCAAAATCGGCAATCTTTGGAATGAGATTCTCATCAAGCAGAATGTTGCTGGCTTTTATGTCCCTATGAATAATTTTTACTCCACAACTTCCATGAAGATACACAAGCCCCTCAGCAATTCCACAGATGATATCAAATCTTTGTTTCCAACTTAGAATATGCAGTGTGTCCTTATCTGCATGAGATAAACTTTTATTAATGGAAAAGAAAAAAAATTAGAAGTTGGTTTTTAAGAACTGCTTCTACTAGGTTTGGGCTGCTCACCAAAAAGGACTTGGTCAAGGCTTTTGTTGGGTACATATTCATACACCAGAAGACTTTCTGGACCTTCAATGCTGCAACCTAAGAGCTTAACAAGGTTCTGGTGTTGAATTCCGCTAATGAGATTCACCTCATTGAAGAAGTCGTCCACCCATTGGCGAGTATTGAAGTACAATCTTTTAACCGCAACAGTTCTCCCATCTGGAAGAACTCCCTTAAACACAGAACCAGCTCCTCCTTGGCCTAATTTCCTCGAGGCATCGAAGAAATTGGTGGCCTTTTCGAGCATTTCGTACTTGAAATTCAGATTGTTCTTGTGTACAGAAATTGATATCTGAATAGGACCATTGTACACTGAGAGAAGAAGGATAAAGAACCAACTTAGAAAATGTAGAAAAATAATAAAAAAGAAAATATAGGTTTTTAGCAGTTAGGAGAATAGTTTCAAGGCATTGTTTACCTTCATTTCTCTTTGATAATCTCTTGTAGGCCATAACAGCTCCAAACAAAACAAGCAAGCAAAGGACCATGGCAGATAAAATTGTAGCAACAATATGTTCCACTTTAACTGAAAAAACATGACACAAGAAAAAGAGACCGCTTGATCAAAACCCAATGCAAACATAAAAATTCAAAAGAGAGAAAGAAAGAAACATTGAAACCAGCCTCACCACAATCTTCTGAATCAGATTCAATTCCATAGAACCTCTCAGTAGAATACCTCAGATAACACCCCGCAAACATAGCCCTGCCTTCAAGCCCAGGCACACATTCCCGGCGGAGGCTATCCCCTGCTTCTTCCAAGCACTCTCTGCACCCGCTTTCATTGATTGTCTTCCAGCACTGTGCCAATGCATACACATTCTCCACCCCTCCTCTCTGCTCAAACACACCAAACCCTTCATGGCTCACGGCCTTTTCTGTCACATTTCCAATCACATCCTCAACCTTTCTAGCAAACTCTTCTGTTTTGGACTTCGAAACATCGACTGCTGGGCCGCTACACTTCACATTCTTGTGCTCTTCATCCAAAGATTGATGGGAGAACTCGTGATCATCATAGCCAAGAAAGCATCCGTCAAGATATATACGTGCCGAGGTAGAGGGAAGGCATAGAGGGAGCTTTGTTCTAGACACTGCAAAGCAAGCGGCGCAATCGATCGGTGAGAGGTCATCGTAGCATTGAGCAAAGGCGTAGACCTCCGGTTCAGGTGAGGCAATAGTGTACTCACCCCAGCGTTTTGCATTGACATCATTGGAGATGAAGTCCATTACTGTTACGAAGTTTGGAATGAAGTTGCTGCTGGAGTTATGCCTGGCATGTCCACAGAATCGACCCGCCTCGGAGATTCGGGGTTCTGAAGTAGATGAAGAGAAGAGGAAAGCGTAGATTATAAGGAATGTGGAAATAGGGCTTCGAGGGGTTAAGATTGGTAATCGCATGGTATTCAAATTGGCTGTGTTTTCCTCTGTTTCAAAATTGAGATAGAACAGGGGAAAACAGAGCAAAACAGAGGAATTTGGTCAACGGGTTAATCTCTCTGGATAATTGTTTCTGTTTTCTTTATTTGGGTGGAGATGGGGTTGTTGAGGCCTCAGCGTCTGGTTTTATCGTTTTTCATGCATGGTAGCTTCAGTTTGAAGCCAAAAGCCAAGAATGAGCCGCCTCAGTGCAGCATTTTTGACGCTTTTTGAGGACCCAGAATCTTTTGAACCCAACTTGCTTAAACCCTACAACCATACATGTTCTAAATTTATAATAAGGTAATTCATCCAAGGTTCTGAAATTTCAGCATGCTTTTACCATCAAAAGAAGAAAAAAGTGTTTGTATTTGGCTGTCTAACTTGTCTTCGACCTAAATCATTTCACATAAACAATCACATGTTACCATGCTCCTAAGCACCTTGATTTTGTAGTTTTTTCTTTTCAATATAATGTCTGACATGATGGCGAAAACAGGATTGATTGCCTAAAAGAAACAAGGCCCCTCACTCTGTGTTAATGATTACTTCCTGCATGAGGAACATGAGTAAAAACTTCAGGCGCAAATTATCATATGTTAATTCCCTAATTCCCATTTCCATTGTTAAATACCAAAGCCACCACAAGAATATTAAAAAAAATTGTTTCATCTGCTTGCTGCATTCTTGTAACTTTCCTGGAAAGCTCTGCAAACTTGCGACCTAACATTTGCACGTTTTCTGTTTCCTTATTTCTTATCCTAATAATCAGACTTATGATAAACGTGATTTGGGTTTTGAAATTAATAATAAAAGAAGTTATTGTGTTTCTTCCTTGCCTTCTCTTTCGATCAGATTCTTCCTTACCTAATGGCATTAAACATGTATACATATACAGCCATTACCTAGGATTTGAAAATTAGGTAGGCTAAATTTACCTTACGTACAAATCTATTAAGTGAGTATATTGCAAGTTAACATGTTACTGTATATAATTAATGAAAGAGTATTAAAACAATATATAGAAGCAATAAATATGGGAGTGTGTTAAATATTTAAACAATAGTTGTTGTAGTTTGTTGATTGAGTCTAGTGGGGATTGCCACGATGTACACATTATTGTTACAAAAATTACTTTTTTAGCATTATTTTTTAATTTTTGAATGGGCTTGGTACGATATTGTGAAAAGAAAGTCACCTGGGTTATAGCCCAGGTTAGTCCAAGGACAGGTCCGTCCCCGTACAGAAAACTACAAACCGCTGGGTATGCCTTGTTTATTTTTAAAACAGTATTCTTTTTTTATGGGACAAAACACTACTTCAGCATTGGTCTGATCCTACTACTGGCCCAAACCTCAGCCCAAGCTAATGATACGGGCCATTTAATGCTTTAGCCATGAGAACTTAGCCCATCTTAATTTCCAACCACTACTTATAACTTACCCCTTATAACTTACCCTTCATTATAGTCTGAGCGACTACTTAATCCTAAGTTGAAGCACCAATTGGGTCTAGCCCATTGAAAAAAGGTTTGCAAATCCCTGATCTCATATTTGAACTCCCAAATCACCTTGGCTGCTTGAGAAAAACCTCCTCCTCCCTCTTACTAACATATGCTAAACACAACATTAAACATGCACATGGAGTGGCACAGTGAAAAAGTTGGCCGAACTCTCCCCCTCCCCCTCTCAAGTGCACTTGGGTTCAATTCACGTACGAGACAATCTTGAAGCAACTCAATATAACATCCCTCCTCCCCAACGAATAATTTTTAAAAAAAAAACGCAAACACAACATTAAACATTATAGTATTTGATTAAATAATGTCGACCCCAGTTATGTGAACCAAAGTACATAAGCATATTTCTTCTGGCATTGGCCAAAAATGGTCATGTTCATGATCAAACATGTACAAAATGGTAAAGATGGAACTGTAAATGGCAAGTCATCAGTCCTTGGTAAAACAAGGTCGATAAATGGTATCCATAACAGCAAACTGCATGTTCTCTGATGGCTTCCAATGGCGCTTCCTCTGATTTATAAACCAGTTGTTTATTTGTTTCTGATCCAATCCCGTCACCTGAGCCAACGAGATTTTGTCTGATTCCTGCAGCAAATCAATAACAAAACAGATGTTAATTACGGTTTAAAATTGATCAAAGCCATGCTAGTATATATATATATATTTATATATATATTTTTTGTTTGTTTTGGAATTACCGTTGGGTATGGCCATTTGTCGTGAAGGTTCCACCAATCAAAGAGGGTTTGCCTAGCTTCTCTCGGGAGCTTCCCTTTCTTCTTCTTCTTGGAGAATTCATGCTTGAGGGTGCTTATATAGCCACTGTATTTACGTAGGAGTTTGTCCTTGAGCTCGTGCTCTTCGCCTGTTCGTGGAGACGTCTCTCCTCCACTCAAGTCTTCTTCATCAGATGAACCACCACCGTCGTCTGCAAATTGAAATGCACGAACGTCACCTTCACGCCTTAAACAAAACCCTATGGAATTGGTTAATTTCAGCAAAAACTGAGCAAGAAGATTGAAATGAAACAAAATAATAATTAGAGCATACAATGACAATCCGTTACTAATTGAAGGATCGCCTAGCAAAATATTGCTGCGTCCCAATATCATAAATAGTCTCCACCAACCCAAATAGTGTCGAATTAATCCTTTTAATTGTTAGCAAGATCGAGAGACTTATGCGAGAGCATGGGACATGGAGCCCCATAATCCAAAAAGGGCATAAAACAGGATTGTGCACGCAGAGATGGGGACCACCAGTGGACCAAGTACCCATCAGCTCAATCCATCCATTGATGATCATACATGAGAGATGAGGCCATGCATGCATGCGATACACACATGCACACATGGAGAGCAGGAAGTCGTGTTTCCAGGGATGTGATGGATCATAAAGCCATGCTACATGGAAGGCGGGGTCCACTAAATTTACAGCAATACTCAAAAGCAGCCACTGACAATCAATCGTTATCTCATCCGAAGCAGAAAAAGAAAACTTTGAAACAATGAAATAATATATAAAAATAAATATTTCTCAAGTTCGTTGTGTCGTATCGCATGCAGTCAATGACTCAATGACTGGATGATCTGTCTCTTCTCTCAACTCAATCTCATACTCAGAGGTAACCCGTAAAGCACGCCAACCCCCAACCCCAAACACCCTGCTCGCTCTCCAATCTCAATCACTTCATATGGAGCCTATAAAACTCCAGACATATATTTTCCAACTTTTCTTATTTTCTTGCAGTTCCGAGGAAAGGTTGCAGAAAAAAAAAAAAAAAGCATTAACATATCCCCATGCTTTCCCTTTACCTTCCTTCTTTTCTTTTTTCTTTTTTCTTTTTTCTTTTGGGACTGTATATATCTAGGTTCATGATACACTACTGTTTATAAAAGCATATGGGCATAGTGGAAATCCAATTGAAAAATAATTGATGTACAAACATAATGACTGAACCCATTAATTCAATCTATTTTATAAAAACAATTTTAAAAAAACTCCATTTAATTTATACAAATTTATAAATAAACTCAATAAAAACATAATAATAACGTACATGAATGAGATGTCTAAAAGTGGTTGATAAAAAAGTATAAAAATGAATTTTCATGAAGGCTAAGTCAATCTGTGAATAAATAAAATCAAACATTGTCATGTCGTTAAAATAAATCGTAGAAGCAAACCACCCACTAGTGTATCGGTTTGAAGTGATGCTGGGTTTGAGTCCTAACGTAGTGTGTGGGTTTATTAGCTTGTTATCTCTCTTTTCAATTGGAAAGATTCTAAAAATGAATAAATAAAGCATAGAAAAATACGTCTTAATATTATTGACGTAGAGAATACCAGAAACACTCAGTTTACTGCGAAAAAGAGGGATGCAGAAAATCACAGAACATACCTAGCGAAGGAAGAAAAAGCATTGGGTGATAGAGATATAGGAAGGAAGAGCAACCGCAGCTTGAACCAGTGACTTTCAATGCTTAAAAAGCTGACCCTACTGTGGATGCAGCGGCAACTGCGGGAGTCCATGGTCAACGAGTCAACCACATACTCCTCCTCCCCTACCCAATGATCATAATGACAATTCTACCCTTCGTATGCGGTATATATGCCGTATGTCCTGTTTTGTACTTGTCCTAATAATAGTATAATACACGGTTTTCAACGCCCTCACTGAGGCATATGCTAGTGGGTGCACAGTAGAGCATGAAATGATATATCACGCCTCTCGTGCATGCACAGTGAGCAAACACAGCCTACTGAGTACAGAGCCAGCTACTTCTTTTCCTTTCTTCTTTCATTTTACTGGGAATAAATTTCTACATTTGATCAAATATCTCTAGATCAATTTCTAAGTTTCATTGTTTTTAGGGCGATGAAGCATAGCGAAGTTCAAGAAGGAATGACAAAGCAATGTTCAAACACAAATAACGAAGGATAACATATACTAAATTTACACACCTACACATTATAAGGATGCTAAAACTCAAACCGAGAACCTTTTCTGAAGGAGCAAATGCTCCAAACCACTACATTAGTGAGTCTTTGCAACTTACATATCATTTTAAGACAAGGAATGATGGAGATTTCTACATTATTATATTTATTTTCTGGGCATTAATGTTGGTCAAGATGGTCTATCAGCCTCTGGTCTGGTTCAAATCATATAATGAGTGAAGACACAAGTGAATAACTATCCTAACATGAACCCTAATTAATAAAGGTGTACTTGTAGAACACCATTCAAACATGAACATTTACCAATAAAAACAGAAAGAAGAAAAGACATTCAAACAAGAATAAACAAGAAACACAAGCCTAATTCCAGAAAGGCTTGCATGGGCATCCTCGTGCCATAGGAATTGAAAATTCAAAGAAGCCAGCTCAAGCATGCAATTGACTAGAAAAGCACTCAAACCACATGATCAGTTCAGAAGCTTTAAAACAAGCTTCCCACACCTGAGGTCCCAAACAAAATCCATAACTTCCAAATGAAAGCAGCTTTTTTTCAAAGCTGTGCAAAAATAATAGCATATATACCATACTGTATCTGTAAAAAGTAACATTAAAATAACTTTTGTTGGCGACAAACTCCATATGTACCAAGTACAGATCGAATGGATTCAGCCATTATAGAAGTATATACAAAAACCTCAAAAGTAGGAGATCAGCAGTGATCAAAGGAATATATGTATATATTTAACTAGATTAATCTTCTTCAAAAGATTCTGTAAGGAAGCTAATTGTGTTGATGGCATTGGCATGGATGATTACAAGAAAAGTTGTTTATTTCAGATGGCCATTTGAAACTATATATTCCTAACAAGTCTTTCGAGTACAATGCCTTTTCCCAAAGTAAATTTATTATTCCTTCCCCATGGCATGCACTAAAACTCATACTCGATCATATCCAAACTTGGAAGATTTAGTATGGAGAGATCTTTAGGAGGGAGTGCATCCGCATTAAAGAAAGTTTAGTGCTACTATATGAAGAAAAAAAGCCCAGGGCCATTGATGCATGCACCCAAAATTAGGCCAATCACTTACTGGCTGAGAGCCTACATATACCCCATCCCATGTATACTTATATATGTACATAAATTCTCCTATGCGGACATCTAGATGTTATTACCGTGCGGACGTCATATATGATTTTCTCAATAAATTTGCCCTAGCTAGAGCAAGAACCAGTACATCAACTGAGTTAATTTCATTTTCCATTCTCTATAAATCATGACAAATGGGAAACCTTAGACTATATGTCTTATAGTGTGACAAAGAACAAGCATACATTACAATTTCAAACACTGCCTCGGAAACTGGTCAACCATGTTAGCATCTTTATAACATAAATAAGCTATAGATGAATTACATACTAAACCAATTGAAGAAAACAGACAGTAAAAAAATTGTGTAAATAACCTTCATTGCTATATATACTGTCATTGGTGTAATTTTGAGATGTCAAAATTATCTGGGTACTAGCGAGTTTCTTTTCATAATAGAGAAAACCTTCACATCATAGCACCGAAGGAAATCTCAGGTGCACACCTAGTCCTCCAGGGATATACAAGAAAAGGATCTCTTTTAGGGTTTCTAAATTTCTGCTGTGACATATATATTTTGCCAAATGCGTACATATATATCTGAGCCGTGAAAGCTTTAATTTTGTTTCGTCCGTAAGAATAAATAAACTGAACGTTTGTTTGTTTGAGGTGCAGCAGCTTTTTTAATATTTAATTTAATTTGTCTAATGAGAACCAATAAAGGGAACTGAGCCTAGGAAGTATAAGAATCCAAACAACTACAGTATGCTCTCTTCCTTCCTATGGCTATGAGAGAGACAGCTTGTGCCTGTAGCTAACTTATTGCTATTTCCTGATCTGGGTTTCCATGGGATTATGTATGTAATAACTTCAAAATATATGCGCACAAAGCACAAATATTAACGAAACAGAAAGCAAAAACAAAACAAAACAAGATTTAGTTAATTAATGAGAGAGAGAGAGAGAGAGTACTAGTAGTAGTAGTGTTATTGGAGGAGAGAGTGATGAGCTGCGTCTCCATCTTGTTTAAGAAGGTGATTGCTTCATCGAAAGGTCTCGTAAGATCCGATTTGTACTTGACTAATATATCGCAGTATGTCTCCTTTTTTTTTTTTTTTTAAACAACAAAGATAAATAAATAAAAAGAGAAAACCATTAGATTAGGCATAAGAACAAGAGAAACAAACACCGAGAGAGAGAGAGAGAGAGAGAAAGAGACCATGAAAGCATCGAGCTCAGGATCGGCAGTTGCCATGCAAGTTGAAGCTGAAGTTGAACTTCTCCTACAAATTAGATGATCACTTTCCCTCCTGATTTCGTCCAACACACTTGCCACTTCTGGTGGCGCTCCCACCTACACATGTTTATTGAGCCAAATCAAAAACAAATTAATCACAGTTTTAGTTTACAATTTAATTAAGCAACTTAATTAGTAGTTCTCATCTTCATCTCCTTCGTGGAAAAATTTTCACCACAAAACCCTTGACTCTCTAGACTAGAGAGACTGATGTAACACATATCATTAATTTCTTGGTCTTCTCTTTTCGTTTTGCTTTCAATTTGGTTTAGATTCTTCTGCCTTTCTTTCTTGGGTTACCCAATTAATTTCTTTATTTTCTGAGCAACCAAACGGATATATATATGTATATATGACTACTCCACCTTTTGGCAATCGATGTAAGCTTGCAGAAGCTTGGGGTAGAGAGGATGTGAAGCGATCTTCGCATTCATTTCGCACGAAACCTCTTCTCCCAAACCACACCCTCCTCCTCTTTCTCTTTGATTATTAATTCCAGCAGCCACAGCCGAAGCAGCATCCGATACACCGGAGGAGCAACCCGAAAACAAGGGGTCAGGCCTCTGCAGCCCGGGCATCCGGTCGCCCAAAGCCGCCGCCAAAGGCTCGAAGGTGCTCTTGTGGTAGTAGTTGTAGCAGTCCACCTCCACCTGATGCTGATGATGATCAGGAACCGTTAGATTCTCCGGCATGGCCATTGATGAAGAGTAGTATTGATCAGAGCTGAAACCTGAAGCCGGCGTCGATGAGGCGAGGCCGTACAGTTCCTCCATCATTGTTGGCTTTCCAAAGAGGAGGAGGAGGAGGAGAGGGTGAGCTAGCTATATACCTGCTTAAGCCTTAGGGAAAG